AATGTCTAGCACCAGTATGCATTTCGAATGTCAAGACCATCTCGTATCGAGTAAGACATTACGCATCTACATCTACATTCCTTTCCACGAGAGTGACACACATACCAGTGTGTACCCCTATGGGGTTGCCTGTGTGCCCGGATGTGCCGCGGGTGAGCCTTGTCCCATGGTGGATGAGGAAATGAGAGACAGAAGGCCTGGATGCCAAGATTAGCCTATGGGCATTGTGGGTAGTACCACTGGAGTTAGAGCAAGCCTTCGGGCAGAGCAAGGCAGCATTGCCAAACCAGTTCGAGAGGTTTATCCAGAGCAAGGCTTTTGAGCGGCCTGGAACCACCGGCCAGATTAGTCACTCTCAAATTATTACTGGCAGGAGTGCTTCATGCATTCCTTCTTCATCACGAATTACCAGCACTCGCGAACTTCCAGTATTAGGCCGGGCCTTGGTAGGTTGGTTACAAGATCCAGTACGACATCGCTCGACACTCGAAGCTCTTCTCGACTTATCCCTCCTTCTCTCTCCCAGCCTCATTCACATCTCCGTGTAGCAGTTGACTTGTGTCGTTGCCTTGGATTGAGTACCTGAGGGAACCTTTCAGACGGTAGAGACATGCATCCCTTTCTCGCACCTCCTTTGGTAGCTTGCTTTCTGATGTTGCAAGCCAATGACCGTTGGCTTACATGTCTCTGTCTTAGATCAAGTTATGTGCTGCTTTCTTCAAGCATCAACTTCGCATGTCAGTGCATTTCAATGTCAATTCAGGTCTTGCATACGAAAGTTCTCTTACTTGAATTGACATGCTCATGCCTGTTGCGACAGCCATGCCGCAGCAGTCTCCACATAGGGGACGTAGCAGATCCCGCCGACGCAGGAGACACCGCCGTCACAGCAGTCACTCCAGCACCTCCACTCAAGCTCTGCAACGTCGTTTGCAACGACGGAAACGGACAGATGTCTCAAGTAATACTGCAGCTGCACCTTCGTCAGGTTCTATGCAAACTTCGGCCACAGATAAGCAAGATTGGCAGGGATCACACCAGTGGCAGCAGGATCAATGGCAACACGATCAGTGGCAACATCACTGGAACCAAGATCAGTGGAAGAGGTCGAGCCAACAGGATCATCGCTCGTGGACCGATGACAGCTCTTGGCAGAAATGGTCAGACCAAGGATGGCATCAAGGTTCGTGGCAGAGCAAAGATTCGTGGAAGACCAAGAAGAAAGACAAAGTTTGGGCCAATCCTTCACAGACTACACCTGCACCATCTCAGCCGACTATGCCGACAGCAGGGACAGCAGCTCCGCCACCTCAACCTGCTCCCTCTCTCCCTTGTCCTCCTCTCCCTTCTCTCCTTCCCATTCCTCCTCCTCCTTCTCTTCCTCCTCCTCCTTTTCCTTTCCCTCCTCCTCTCCCTTCTCTTCTTCCCATTCCTCCTCCTCCTTCTTCGTTGCACGTTCCCCCTACTCTTCCTGCGCAGTTCTCCACTCCTCCTGTTCCTGCTCCACCTGCCAAGTTTGGAAACGTCGGTGGTAACTCACAACAGGTGATTCCTCCACCGGGCACCATGTGCTTGTCGGCTAAAGCAGCAGCTGCTAACCCACCTTCCGCTGTTCCTCAAGATGCAGGCAAAGATCGACGCTACCAACCGTACCAGCACAAACCGACTCCATCTATGACACAGGAGTTGATGGAAAGTGCACGCACTGTGTTAGCCACTCGCAAGATTCGCAGCTTTGCAGAGTTGACAGCACATGAGCGTCCTCAACCTGATCATTTCTCTGACTCCGATGCTCAAGATTTGTATGCAGGCATTCATCGACTTGATCCGAAATTTCCTCTCCAGACCAGACAAATGATTGCTGACATTGTTTATGGATCTGGCAATTCGTCGATGTTTCTCTTGGACAAGATGTCCATCTTCGACTGTGATCGCATTTACCGAATCTTGCTGATACCGTACAACGCACCAGAGGTGTCAACCTTTGGCATTGAAGACGGCATTGATCCTAGCCAAGGCTTCAAGTACTCTTATGTTGGAGCTCATGGATGTGATCCATCTGCAGGTTTTGGCATAGCATCAGACTCCTTTATTCGTCCTTCATCCTGGAGTGGAAGTATCGAAGGCTCTCACGCAGAGTATCCCACCACTGGATTCAATTGCCAGGGAACTCTTGGAGATGTGAGCGCGCATACTCTTCAGACGATCTTCTCTCGCGTGCTGAAGACTCCAAAAGGACAACAAGGAGTCATTGCGGTCACACAGACCTTCAGCAAGTTCTCCCATCATAAACTGACTAGTCGTAGTGTCTCAGATGAACAAAGGATTGTTGCACGGACAGGTGCAGTCAGTGGTCCTGAACGATGGACAATGCATGCCGAGCATTCAGTGATCCGTCTCTTTGCTTTTGCACGAGCATTGTGATACACAATTAGCTCAACTCTTCCTCCCTGCAATGCAGCAGTACCGTCTAACTTTTGTACTGCCGTCATGTCTCCTGGAAAATAACGACTCTGCTGTGTGAGTTCAATGATGTGCTTGTGGTTCATTCAAACGCAGAATTCAGCTTCGTCAGTTATTGGAGACAGATTGATCTGACTCCCCGAACATGTGCAGGTCAACGATCGACTTCAACATCGTCTCAGTCTTAATATCCAGCAAAGTTGCTTTCCCCATCTTTCTCCTGGCTTGAGTATCTCCTCTCTTCTCTCCTCTGTCTCTGCTTGACTAGGGCTGTCTGCATTTTGCTTATTGGGATCAAATTCCACCAGACCTGGGCAGGGAGTCAGCTAGCAACTTTCGCAGACATGGATCGACGAAGCAGATCTTCCAGAGGCTCTCCTCGACATGTTCCACGGTCAGAACGAAGCAGTCGCACGTGGCGATCATCAACGATTACTCCACAGATGTCTACTCGGCCACATAGAACCAGAGAAGATAGCCGATCCAGACCGTCACGTCCTGCCATCTCCCGGAACACCCAAGAACAATTGAGGCGACGAG